GTGGGAGGTAGCTTTGGGGTGGTTCGCGGGGTCAGTTGAGGCCCCGTTGCTCCCCAAGTTGCAGGTCCCCCCTCGTTAATTCGGCACTTCGGCTATTCGGACATTAGGAAGTACCCGAAACGAATTGCACATGTCTAGTTGCACCAAAAGTAATAAGGTATAAATATTACAAACTTTAAAAAGTGAATAACTGAAACCACCTCTCATGGAAAACTAGTGTTATAGCTCTTCACCTTTAATCTTCAATATGTTTGGAAACACAAAACAAGTAGCACAGTCTGTAATAGTAGTCCTCATGGGAAAAAAAAAGGTGATGGCCCTAAAAATCACGAATGAACAAAACAGAGCCTCATAGTATCCACAGGTAGCAATAAACATAACAAGAGGACAAATGGCAACTCACATAAATGGAGCTTCTGGAAAGCTCTAGTGATGCAGCATTAAGGAGTATAATCCCCGCTTCAGGATGTGGAGAGGGCAGGCATCCCCATGTCAGGCCGTATCTGGTCCGGCTCCATTCCGGCATTTCCGGTATACGGAACCAGCTCCGCCCCCTTTCTGACGCGGCTCTCACACGCTTTATAGTGAGACCGCGCCAGATTCAAGGCTTGGTGATTTCGGATGTTACTTCCGCATTCAACGCCGGCTAAGCTTCTCTTCGTTCCTAACGTGTACCGAACCTTGGATTGTTGTAATGGACTTTTGCCTTCTCATTGCCCTCTGACCACGGACCGTATTGGATTTACTGGATCTCTACTTATTTCCTTGAAACCGGACTGTTTATGTCAAACATCCTTTGGACTCAATCTATTCAGTTCCATGGAGGACAACTCCCATCAATCTTAAGTATACAATTTACTTCTATCTCTGAAGGTTTACTTATTAATAAACTTTGACTTGCTTGCTGTAGCCTGCATTTACTAAAATATTATTGCAATCATTAAAGCCTTTTTCTTTTCCTCTAATTGCCTACAACCTCCACCTTGCTTTAAAGCTACAGTAACCTTATTAATTTAAAGGATTTCTCCTCTTTTTGCTATTGTAATTAAGGAGTTTTACAAGCTGCAGTTGAGTTCCAAATCCCAAACCTCTTGTGTCATAACACCCCATGATAGTAGTGGTATATGGAACACAAAGAAAATATGTAGTGCTCTCTGTACAAAAAACAAAAAACATACAAATGTTAAAATATCCTTCTTACAATTTTCAGAACAGCACCAGCTCTGATTATCAGGTATAGGTGATATGATCCCAACAAAGGATATGTAAAAAATTGGATGAATCCTCAATAAAATCCAATAAATGGCCAGGAATTTATATTATCCAGGAATTTATTAGGGATTAAAAACAATAGCAGCATAGAAATGTGCAATATAAAGCCTATTTCACCGACAAAAGGGCATTTTTTAAGGCATAGTTATAGTCCTGGCATCTATTCTTGAATAGGAGAAATAACTTCAAACTTTTCCTGTTAAATGCATCATGGTCACATGATCGTCATCTTAGATCACATGATAATATAAAACACTGTTGAATGCATGTAGACATCTCTAATACATCTCTAAAAGAAATAAATATATACAATTGCATAAAGGTGCATAAGACATATAACATAAATAGGAAGACATTTTTATATAAAATATATGGTCACATGATGGAGGGGAAATCGATCACAATCACGTGGTCATAAAATGCATGATGAAAAATGCAGTCACAGAGTATGAATTTTTAAAGTCCACAAAATGAGTCAATCATTATGAATAAGACTTTTAAACATCATATGGGGATAGGCATTAGGAACTAAAAATGTGAAGAAGAATGTTCCTCTCGCGACATCTGGAGCGGTGCCATTGCAACACCCTGGGTCTTGCGAGAGTGAACTCTAGCCCCACAGGCTAGAGGTTAGAGTTCACTCACCACTGAGACCACCAGGGATTGCAGCAAGCCCCCCTCCCAGGCAAAAGGTAAGAAAGCACCCTTACACACACACTGATCCACTCTCACACACATACACTACACCCACTCAGCACCCTTACACACACAGCACCCCTCTTACCCCTCTCACACACACTGCACTCCTTAGACTCACAGTGCAACCCACTCACAAACAGTGCACCCCTCACACACACCTATTACACCCTTCACACACACTGCATCCCCAACACACTGCACCACTCACACACACACACACTTCCAAATACTTCCAAACATATATGTATATATACTACAGAAGCCCTCACACACATACTGCACCCTGAAACACATTACATTGAATCCCTTACACACACACACTAGATCCCCTACATACACACACATTACATTCCTGAAATACACACTCTGGATCCCATATGCACAAGATTCCTTGTAAACAAACACATACTATACTCCCTAAACACACACTCTCTACAACCCATACATTCACTCAGGGCCGCCATCAGGGAATGACAACCATTGTGGTGGAATCTCGGTAAAAATAAATTTAGTAGGCCGAGATTACCACGTGGCATGTGTACGTGCATATGCTGACGTATCGATCAGTTGGTTGCACGAGGCAAGATACGATCAGTAGTGTACGGAGCATGTGCAAGAATACAGGATGTAGTATTCCCCTCCTCCATTGTGCTGGACAAGCCATGCGGTCAAGCAGGAAGTTAATTCTTATTTGTAATGATTGGTCAAGAGAATGTGCGGGTGGAGCTTAATATGGGAGGAGTTATGTGCCTATATTGTGCACTATTGTTCAGGGCTCAGAACTTGCTGTATTTTTGGTGACATTAGTCCCTCTGAGTCCCGATCGGTGATCCAATAAAGAATCTCTTCCTTCCTGAAGAAACCTGTGTCCATCCCTCTGTGCTTTGCTTCCGTCAGTTTCTCCGGTATCATTTGGTGCATTGGCCGGGAAGCTCATCGTTCAACGGTAGCTGAGAGGCAGAGGCGTGAGACGGTCTATCTTTGCCCACGTTCTCTACGGCTGCACCCCTGAACTTCTGCGTGGACCTCCCTTCGTCTCGGCGCCACTGGTCTGTTGTCCAGGAGATCATCGGCCTCTACGTAAGAAGTGCTGGGGTGTCCCCGTCGATGAGTGTGAACTCAGGTTCAGGAACGAGGAGGTAAGACAACTGCTGTTTTAGACGGCAGACCCACTAGGGGTATACCGATTGTGCGGTAGGCCCAAAAGGGGTTTAAATCTGTGTATGGAATCTGCCCCCTCTGTCGGAGGGAAGGAGCGAAGGCGCACCGCTCGATCGAACGCTCTTTAGTAAGACCGTTTGATCTGGTTAGTCAGGCGGGGTCCTGTGTAAATAGCCCTAGCCGGACACCGGTGTCTTGTCTAGACTAGCGTTCTAGGGTGTATATTACGTTCGCTAGGTCGGAGGGACCGGGAGACTAAGCGGCGCCTGTGTAAATTCGGTTCGCTAGCTCTCAACCTATCTTGGCTAAGTGGGAAGGCGTGTAAATTTGGAACCCACTAGACTTTTGATAGAGTAAATAGACTAGAAGGGCAATTTTGTAAATTTCGCCCTCTAGTTCGCTATATGTGGTGTTTGGGCAGTGTGGCTAACCAAAACGGGTGTATATAGTTTTAGGTAGTCCATTCAAGGTACTGGCCAATAGTTTAGTTGGGATTGTAAATGTGTTAAAGATTGTTAGTAAAGTGTATATCTTGTTAGATAGCGCGAGCTCAGCCGTCTAGCGAGAGTGTTAATAGTGTGTTGCTGTATCATAGTGCACGGTACCATAACCCTGTATATTTACTGACACTGTATATAAGTACTAATCATTGTTGTCTATTGCATGTTTAACACCGTAACCACTAATAATTGTATTGTGACCTTAAATTGTGCTTTGACCTATGCTAACCGTACTGTAACCGATACTAGTAAAAGACGATGTTACTGGGGTGTGTTATAGACGGGTAATTCATATATAGAGAATTATAGCGTGGGTGACTGTATAGTTTCGCCAAAGGGCATAATATTGATTATTTAGTGACTGGTGTAACAGCTGTGTGTGTACGGGAATTCCCTGAGTGATTATTGTGTTATTGTGTACGTTTCACTCGGTAACTGTACCACGTGGTGCTGTTGCCAGAGGAAACGGGTGTGACTGTTGAATAAGAACGCGTGCATAGTATTCGTTGTCAACGACGTTCCATTGATAAGTATGGGCGCGTCAGAGTCAACGATTTCGGATCCCTTAGGTTGTATGGTAAAGAATTTTAAAAAGGGATTCAAAACATGTGATTTTGGGGTTAAAATGTCTCCTGTACGTTTGGTCACTTTGTGCACTAGGGAGTGGCCTACTTTGGTTGCGGCATGGCCGCCGCGTGGCAGTTTGGATCCAACCCTGGTACAGCGTGTACACGTGGCTGTATCAGGTGGGCCTGAACTTTACGGACAGTTTCCATACATTGATTGTTGGAGGCAGGCCGTAAACGACTCGCCAAAATGGATCCGGATATGCCACGAGGAGCAATGTCGCCTCATGGTGGCCAGGACTTGTTTGTCCACTAGGACTGGTGTTAGGCCCATTTTGGACACGCCCCCTGAGTCCGAGATCCCTTTGCCGCCCCCTTACTTTCTTTTAAGAGGAAGTGACGCGAATGCAGGAAGTTCTGCACCCCTTCCCCTATTGCCCCCATCCACTTCCGCTTCCTCCTCCAGTACAGAATCCACCCCCCCTCGTATTAAAACTCCCCTTCCGGAACCAGGACCAACCCCCATTAGATCTGAATATCCTGATTTGGCGCCACTTCAAACTTCCGGTCAAGCTTCTTCTAGCTCGGCTCGGAGTATACTATTCACTAACTTTTCCCAAAATCAAGTTCCCACATCCTCATGCCCTATTACCTCTCGACCGGAACCTTTAACTGACGCCCCTCCACGTAGCCCCATACTAACCCGACAACTGACCGGTACCCAACAATTAAAACATTATCAGATGCCTCTTCGTCTGAATCCTGGGTCAGCCTATATCGATGCCGCAGGTCAAATGGCACATGCTGACCCAGTCTTCGTATATGTCCCGTTCACGACTACCGATCTCTTGAATTGGAAGACCCACAATTCCTCGTACACTGAGAAACCACAAGCTATGACCGATCTGTTCACCTCGATAGTTCAGACACATAACCCGACATGGGCTGATTGCCAGCAGTTATTAATGACATTGTTCAATAATGAGGAAAGGACAAGGATTAACCAAGCGGCCATTAAGGCGCTAGAGGAGAGAGCCCGTGCTTTAAATCAAGCCAATCCGGCAGCATGGGCCGCAACACATTACCCTAACACCGATCCTGACTGGAATGTAAATGGCGCAGATATGGCTCAACTTAAAGCCTATAGAGATGCTATAATTGCTGGCATGAAAGCCGGAGGGAAGAAAGCTATTAACATGTCGAAGACAGTTGAGGTGATTCAGAAAAGTGATGAAGCGCCCAGTGTCTTTTATGACCGATTATTGGAGGCATACCGCTTGTATACCCCCTTTAATCCGGAAGACGCTGATAATTCCCGAATGGTAAACTCCGCCTTTGTCAGCCAAGCTTACGGAGATATTAAGCGCAAGCTACAGAAATTAGAAGGGTTTGCAGGTATGTCTATCACCCAACTAATGGAGGTAGCGAACAAAGTATATATGAATAGGGAAACAGAAAGTAAGAAAGAGGAAGAGCGCAAGATGCGTAGAAAGGCAGATATGCTAGCGGTAGCGATCGCAGGCGTAGATAGACGGGGCCCAGATAGAGGCGATGGTAGATGGAATAGGGAGCCTTTGAGTAGGAATCAGTGCGCGTACTGTAAGGAAGAAGGGCATTGGAGGAACGAGTGTCCGCAAAGAGAGCAGTATGAGAGAGACTTACCCAGGGCAGGTTACGGAAACTTTAGAGGCAGAGCGAGAGGTAGAGGAGGCCCCGGAGGGAGTAATGGTAATAGAGGGAGTAATGGGAACAGAGGAAGTGTAAGGGAAGATAGGTACTATCCAGCAGCGCAAAGGTCCCGCGATAGAGAAGGTAGGGACTTTGTGGGATTGGCTGACACGGTCATGGAGGACTATTGATACCGACCGGGCTCCATCCCCCTTGGTCGAGCGGAGCCTATGGTCGATGTATCAATAGGGGGAAAAAGGAGTGCGTTTATGATCGACACTGGTGCTGAACATTCGGTGGTGACTAATCAAGTTGCTCCTCCATCTGGAAGAACTATTACTGTAATAGGAGCAACTGGAAGAAGTGCTGAAAAACCGGTTCTTAAAAGTCGACTCTGTACATTGGGAGGCCACGTAGTAAAACATCAATTCCTTTATATGCCTGAGTGTCCAGTCCAATTGCTGGGACGTGATATGCTATCCAAATTACAAGCGCAGATTACGTTCCTACCAAATGGAACAACATCCTTAAAGTTTAATGGACCCTCAGGTATTATGACATTGTCCGTACCAAAGGAAGAAGAGTGGCGACTTTATACAGTGTTGACTAGCCAAAACCCGAGGAGTGATGAATCCTTATTTAACATACCAGGAGTTTGGGCAGAGAACAACCCACCAGGACTGGCCCGCAATATTCCACCTATTAAAATCGAACTAAAACTTGGGTTTTATCCAGTAAGCCTGAGACAATATCATATTCCGCAGAAGGCTAAGAAGAACATCCAATCTTATCTGGATAAGTTCATACGGTATGGTATCCTAAAATTCTGTACTTCCCCTGGAACACCCCATTGCTGCCTGTTCAAAAGCCCGGTACAGATGAGTATCGACCTGTGCAGGACTTGAGAGCAGTCAATGATGCGGTTGTTAGTATACATCCAGTCGTGCCCAATCCATATAACCTGCTTGCTTTAATTCCGGGCGGGGCTACTTACTTTACAGTCTTAGATCTCAAAGATGCCTTCTTTTGCCTCCGAATTGCCGCAGAAAGCCAATGTATCTTCGCTTTCCAATGGGAAAATGCTGTAACGGGCTCGAAACGCCAAATGACCTGGACAAGATTGCCCCAGGGGTTTAAAAATTCACCTACCCTATTTGGTTCAGCTCTAAGTCAAGATCTACTAGATTTCGAGTCTATCCCAGGAGAGTGTGTATTATTACAATATGTAATGACTTGTTGATAGCAGCAGTTACAAAGGAAGTATGTCAGCAAGCAACGCACGATCTACTACACATTCTCTGGAAGGCAGGATACAAGGTGTCAAGAAGGAAGGCTCAGTTGTGTTTGCCAACTGTCAAATATCTGGGATTCCATATCTCTGAAGGTCAAAGAATTATGGGGCCAGAGAGAAAAGAAGCTGTGTGCCAAATACCGATACCCAGGAATAGAAGACAAGTGCGAGAATTCTTGGGGGCAGCAGGCTTCTGTAGGATATGGATTCCCAGCTACGCGATACTGGCAAAACCTCTGTATGCAGCTATCAAAGGTACAGAGCACGACCCCTTCTTATGGACTCAAGAACAGCAAACGGCATTCGAAGATGTGAAGAGGGCTTTGATGAGTGCCCCAGCATTAGGTCTACCTGACCACACACGGCCATTCTACCTGTATGTACATGAGCAAAGAAGAATGGCTGTGGGAGTATTGACACAGTACTTGGGATCATGGCAAAGACCTGTTGCCTACATGTCTAAGCAACTGGATGCAGTGGCCAGCGGACTTCCACCTTGTCTAAGAGCCGTAGCTGCAGCCGCCCTGCTAGTAGCTGAAGCCGATAAACTCACTCTGGGTCAAGAACTTTATGTACGAGTTCCACATGCAGTACAGATGTTGTTGGATTACAAAGGAAATCATTGGTTTAGTAACAGCCGTATGACCAAGTATCAAGCAATGTTGTGTGAAAACCCAAGAGTGCATTTAGAGACTGTAAATACCTTAAATCCAGCTACCCTTTTGCCACAACCTACTGAAAGTCAACATGATTGTTTGGAAGTAATGGATGAAGTATTTTCAAGTAGACCAGATCTTGATTTTCCCATCCAGAACCCTGATGTTCAATATTACACCGACAGCAGTAGTTATGTAAAAGAAGGGATCCGCTATGCAGGATATGCAGTAACAACGATAGACAAGGTGATAGAAGCTCGGCCACTGGCAAAAGGAACATCAGCACAAAAGGCAGAATTGATAGCACTGACACGAGCATTACAATTGGCTGAAGGTTTAAGAGTGAACATCTACACGGACTCCAAGTATGCGTTTTTAACCACTCATGCCCACGGAGCTTTGTATAAAGAAAGAGGACTATTGAATTCAGAAGGCAAAGAAATCAAATACGCAGCTGAGATCCTACAGCTATTGGAAGCAGTGTGGGAGCCGAAAGAAGTCGGTATTATACATTGTCGGGCGCATCTGAGAGGAGATGGTGATGTAACCAAAGGGAATCGGATGGCAGATAGTGCAGCTAAGCGTGCTGCTGAATCAGGAAGACAGGAATATATGGGGCATATAGCTGCTCTTATACCAACTCCACTGTCTCAATGGACTCCAATTTATACAGCTCAAGAAGAGGAGTGGTTAAGGACTGAACCTGGAAAGTATTTGGAGAACAAATGGTATCAGTTAGAAGATGGAAGAATAGTTATTCCAGCATCACTAGCGGTAGAAATTGTCCAAAACTATCATAGCGGGACACATTCTGGGAGAGACAGTACAGAAGAATCTCTCAGAAAACATTTCTACATACCAAGATTGTCCAACTTGACTCAGGCCATTGTACGTAGATGTGTAACGTGTGCTGAAAATAATGCAAGACAAGGACCAGTAAAGCCACCAGGAGTCCAGTTTATGGGGGGACTTCCCATGTCCGATTTACAAATTGACTATACAGTGATGCCTAAATCGGGTGGACATCGCTACCTGCTGGTAGTGGTGTGCACCTATTCAGGCTGGGTAGAAGCATGTCCTACTCGTACAGAGAAAGCAGGAGAAGTCGTGAGATTCCTGCTACGAGAAATAATACCCCGACATGGACTACCCTGCTCTATAGGATCGGACAATGGTCCAGCTTTTGTTCATCAGTGCCTACAACAATTGACTCATATGCTTGGTATAAAGTGGAGGCTTCATACTGCATATAGACCCCAGAGTTCTGGTAAGGTAGAGAGAATGAATAGAACTATTAAGAATCAGTTGGCTAAAATGTGTCAGGAAACCCAACTTAAGTGGAACGCTCTCTTGCCCATAGCTCTATTGCGAATCCGTAGTACACCTACCAGAAGGATGGGCCTCTCTCCTTTTGAAATCATGTACGGGCGACCACCTCCCGTGCTTGGTAACTTAAGGGGGATTTGAGTCAGTTGGGAGAAGGAATTACCCGGCAGCAGGTTGTGGAGTTGGGTAAGACTATGGAGGAGGTACAGAAATGGGTACAAGATAGATTACCTGTGAATATTTATCCCCCAATTCATAGCTACCACCCAGGCGACCAAGTGTGGATTAAAGAGTGGAATAATGTGCCGTTAGGGCCCAAGTGGAGAGGTCCTTATGTTGTTCTTCTGTCTACCCCTACAGCGATAAAAGTAGCCGAAGTGGCTCCGTGGATACATCACTCCAGGGTTAAACCAGCAGCAGCCGATTCCTGGCAAGTTACAGTAAATCCAGAGAATCCCTGCAAGATCCGGTTAAAACGCACGACTCAGTCGGAGTGACGAGGAACCTTGTAGATTACAAATTTTATTGTTTCAGAGACTTGGTAAGTGAGTGAGAAGGCCATAATAAAGCCTGTCCACTCACCAACGAGTGTATAAGTCAGGGAAAGTCTTGAGGGGACCCCTGTGAAGACGAGCAGAACTCCATTCCCTGCAGCCCTTACATCCTGGAAGCTGAGGTGCCTTCGCACGGACGAAGACTGAGGATGACGACGAAAGATGTATTTTTAATAATGTTTATTTATGTGTATTTTTATATTCAGGAAGGTAGAGGTACCGACACTCCTAGCTGTGAGGTATGCATTAAGACTACAAGAACAGGTAACCATATATCCCAGACCCTAATTTGGCATTCGCAATATGAGTGTAAAGGAGATGTATCAAGATGTAGATACTTAAATATAGAATATAGTGTGTGTCATTTAGGAGTAGGAGAACCTAAGTGCTTCAGTCCTGAGTATCAACCCCGTACAATTTGGTTGACTCTCAGAAATGGAGATCCTCAGGGGAACCCTAATTAATAAGACGGTATTAAAATCCGTATATTCTTCAGGTGCTCTGCTATTTGATGCGTGTAAAGCAATATCAAGTGGTAGAAAGCGTGGAATGTATGTGGGGATCTTAGATGGGAGAGGACGTATGGGTCTAACGATAAATATATTTGTCCCAGTAGTAAAAATAGATATGTAAGTCCAAGATGTCCAAATAGAGATTATAACTTCTGCCCATATTGGTCTTGTGTGGGGTGGGCGACTTGGGGACAGACAGTAGACAAGGACATGATTGTGACTAAGTTGCCTATTGATCCATATTGTAAGTCTATGGAATGCAATCCAATCCATATACTTATAAATAACCCTGACAAGTTCTTAGATAAATATGGTAATTTATTTGGGTTTCAAATATATGGGATGGGTTTAGACCCTGGGACAATATTGTTTATAGGGATAGAGACTGATACGGTAACCTCCCAAACTCATCAAGTATACCATTCCTTTTATGAAGAGATGAGCATAGATAATAAGATCCCCCATAATGCTAAAAACTTGTTCATTGATTTAGCCGAGAGTATTGCCGGTAGTCTTAATGTTACCAACTGCTATGTGTGTGGAGGTACTAACATGGGAGACCAATGGCCTTGGGAAGCAAAGGAGGTAATGTCCGGTTCTGAGGCAGTTGACCAATTAATATCTACACAAGCCGACTATCATATGAGTGTTAGAGGTAAATCTGAGTGGAGATTGAAGACCTCCATCATAGGTTATGTTTGCATAGCGAGGAAAGGAATGATGTATAATACTTCTGTAGGAGAATTAACTTGTCTAGGGCAAAAAGCTTATGATGATGATACAAAGAATACAACTTGGTGGTCGGCTTCAAATGTCTCAGAACCATCTAACCCGCTTGCAAGATATGCCAATTTAAAGGACGTATGGTTTGATCTATCCATCACATCTAACTGGAGAGCCCCAGCGAATTTGTACTGGATCTGTGGTAAGAAGGCCTATTCGGAGTTACCACAGGACTGGGAAGGGGCATGTGTGTTGGGTATGTTAAAACCATCCTTCTTCTTGTTGCCTATTGAAACAGGTGAGACTTTAGGTGTTAAAGTGTATGATGTGAATCATAGGAAGAAAAGGGGACCCATAGAGATAGGTGCCTGGGAAGATAATGAATGGCCTCCCCAGCTATTATAGATTATTATGGGCCAGCCACGTGGGCAGAGGATGGTACCTTTGGTTATAGAACCCCTATTTATATGCTCAACCGCATTATAAGGTTACAGGCGGTGGTTGAGATCATTACTAACGAGACATCACAAGCGCTCAATCTTCTAGCGAAGCATAATACCAGGATGAGGACAGCAGTTTACCAAAATAGATTAGCCTTGGATTATCTTTTGGCAGTAGAGGGAGGTGTATGTGGGAAGTTTAACCTGAGCAATTGCTGTCTTCAAATAGATGACGAAGGGCAAGCAATAGCTGAGCTTACTAGCCATATGGTTAAACTAGCGCATGTGCCTACTCAGGTATGGAAAGGGTACAATCCAAGTAGTTGGTTTGGTAGCTGGTATGAGTGGTTTGGAGGGCTTAAGGCAGTGGTAGGTGGAGTCCTACTGATTTTAATGTTGTGTCTACTCCTGCCGTGTCTTATACCCTTAGTAGTTAGGTCTGTGCAAAGCCTGATAGAAAATATAGCAGAGAGGAAGGCTGCTGCACAGATAATGGCAATTTATAAATATAAGGCTCTAGATCAGGGAGAACTAATGCAGGAAGATGAGTGTTGAAGATTCACATCATAGGATAAGTCTGGTCTGGTTCAAAGGTAACTTGTGGTGTATGTAAACCAAGGTTAAGTGATGCCTCAAGTAATTGTAAAATATCAAGAGGCATCAAAGGGGGGAATGTGGTGGAATCTCGGTAAAAATAAATTTAGTAGGCCGAGATTACCACATGGCATGTGTACGTGCATATGCTGACGTATCGATCAGTTGGTTGCACGAGGCAAGATACGATCAGTAGTGTACGGAGCATGTGCAAGAATACAGGATGTAGTATTCCCCTCCTCCATTGTGCTGGACAAGCCATGTGGTCAAGCAGGAAGTTAATTCTTATTTGTAATGATTGGTCAAGAGAATGTGCGGGTGGAGCTTAATATGGGAGGAGTTATGTGCCTATATAGGGAGCCTGCACTATTGTTCAGGGCTCAGAACTTGCTGTATTTTTGGTGACATTAGTCCCTCTGAGTCCCGATCGGTGATCCAATAAAGAATCTCTTCCTTCCTGAAGAAACCTGTGTCCATCCCTCTGTGCTTTGCTTCCGTCAGTTTCTCCGGTATCACTACTGGTGCACAGGAACCAAAATTTAGCGCTTACCTGAGTGCTACACACACACCTATATTTCATTTTCTTGAAAACAGATTTGAGCTTCACTACAATAATCAGCTTAAATACAAGTATATTGCAGATTGAGCCTCTCCCCACAGTCTTTAGTGTACAATAGAGTGTTAGTTGAAACAGAAATTAATAATGCAGAAGTGTTAAAGTGGATCTGTCACTTTTCAGTATTTCATAAAGAAATACTTCTTTGTGAATTTCTTTGACTTTCCAACTCAATCCAAAGATACCATAAGACAAAGCAGGACTGTTTTGTCTTATGGTAAAGCCTGAGCTTTACAAAAGGCAGAGTTCTGCCGTCAACTTTTGTCCAAAACCAGCAGCCGCCACAAATAACAGCTGTGGGATTCAGGCTCTGGATAGCAGTGACTGCCTAAAGCGTAGTCGTATTTATTTTTTTGAATACAAATACAAAGAAACAAGTCCTGCGCTCAAACTCCCATTACTCCTGGGCGACAGCAACGACCATAGTACACATCAGCCAAAATACATATAGTAAAAACCAAAGAAAAAAAAGTTACGTGCGCTCTTTCCACATCCCGATGTATTTTTAAACAATTGGAGGTTTTTATTTACCTCCACTGGCCATGAGAGGGTATGCCCACCTGCCACGTCAAGGCAGACCTCTTGGGTGGGTCCTACTCTAACCATTTGCCTTGCTTCCTTGAGCTTCTGGCAAAGATATCTCTAATGAGACAGAAAGGGGTATATTTTTATATACATCCTTACATGCTTATTAACCCTTAATAGGGAACACATGGGATGGGCAGCGGCATTGTAACCTAGCTGTGTGATACAAAAGTGAATACAAATACAAAGAAACAAGTCCTGCGCTCAAACTCCTATTACTCCTGGGCAGCAGCAACGACCATAGTACACATCAGCCAAAATACATATAGTAAAAACCAAAGAAAAAAGTTACCTGCGCTCTTTCCACATCCCTATGTATTTTTACTTCAAACAGTAAAACCTTATGGCAAATGCCTGCTAAATTACAAAGAGGAATGTACTGTAAAAGTTACTATTCTACCATGTATAAGATGCATTTATATGAAAAACATTTGAAATCAGTTACTTAACATCTGGATGAAAACCCATTAAGGGGTCTCTATATAATGCCACTATCCACCAGCAGATTGCCCAAAAAAGAAACATCTGAATGGGCTCATTTGAGGAGTAATCAGAGACGGTTAAAGGTCACATAGGAAACTACAGATTTGACCTTTAGTGAATAAAAGTGTAGCACACACACAGCATGGAATGTTGTTCCACCCATGATATTGCAGACTAATAACAAAAGTTACTCATCCACTAGACTAGATCATATGTTACAGACATTTCATCAGCTGTTAGAAGTCAACATACAACCTAATCAGACTGACAATCAGATCATGCTGTTAAAACACTGATACAGACTGAAAGTCACTTAATAAACTGACTAGGAATTGAGGCACAAAGATTAGAGGATACTTTAGTTCCATAGGTTAGTACCAAGGCAAACATGCATTTTGTAGCTGAATTCAAAAGTTCTATATCAGCTGTCAGAAGTCAACATGCAACTCACAATCAGATCATGCTATTAAAAAAACTGATGCAGGCTGAAAGGCTACGCATGCGCAAGAGTACAACACCAATATGGCTCCTAGCAACTTTAGCTTGAACATGGTGCAGTGTGACGGTGGAAGTCGCGAGGGACAGTCTGAGTTAAGTAAAACTCACCTCCCTTGCACCCCAAGGCCACCAGATCCACATGGGATATGTCTCTTTTGGGAGTCTTTGCGAAATATATAAAGACCTCGAAATTGACTTATCTGCTTTAACTTTACATTACAATACAGCTGAGGGGAAGGTGTAGTATAGATAGGGCCTGTTTACATAAAAAAAAAGATAGGAGCTATAGTTACGGTACTCCAAATAGGCAGTAAAATAACAAGGTACAGGTGCTGCTATCCCACCTCACTGTGGCTCCTGCAGTGATATATCTAAACAGAATTTTGAAAGAAGGAGGGAAGCGCAACCAGTGTGTGCAACAAGTGCTACAGCTTTAATTATTATTATTTTTGCCTTTTATATAGCGCCAACAGATTCCGTAGCGCTTAATTGAAGAACAAGCATCTATACAAACATTTCGGGCAAAGCTGTTTCTCAATGCATCTTGTTCTTCAATTAAAACTGTAGCGCTTGTTGCACACAGTTTTGGAGGTGCTTCCCTCCTTTTTTCAAAATGTTGTTTGCATAGGACCCTGTTTATGTCAAACAGTTTGTAAGCAGGTTGGCATTAGCAGGTAACTCTAAGCAACATATGGTTTTCTTAAGAGTTTCCCTTTAATATGGGAATGGCTAATTGTCAATAAAAAATAATTCAGTGTTTAGTAATTAAATCCCAAAATATATGGCTAATTGTCAATGAAAAATAATTCACTGTTTAGTAATTAAATCCCAAATTATAACTAGCGCCTCTCAGTGTGAGAGTTTTTCCTCCAGCCACATGAGGTGTTATTTACTCTTGTAGACACAGGGCGTGGCCTATGTAATATATAGTAGCAGTGACAACGGATATGCTGGGTGGGCGTGTCCTACAAGGCTCGCATAGCTCCACCCCCCGACCAATAGCAGGGAAGTCTGCGCTATGAAAGCCGCGGTTGCTAGGTAGATTCTAGTGTGGCCTGCAGGACGGCAAACAGTCAATACAAGATGGCGTCTCCGTCAACGCAACAACCGGAGCCGAACCTGTGCGAGTCCCCGGTCCCGGCATCCATGTTCTCCCCGGAGCCTGAAGCCGAGGACTCAGACTGCAGCCTGGACGGGGAGCCCATGCGGAATGGGGAGGCAGATCTAGATCTGACTTCTAAAGTAAGGCTCGGCATGGGGGTCCTCCTCGCTCCCAGCCTGGCCGGCTGAGGGAATGGGCTGGGGGACGTGTCACTCAGGACAGGGCGGGGATGTGGGGCCCTCTAGCTGTCACCGCTCTGCGGGCACCGACATGACGTGTCCCGGGCCGGCATTCACCGTCCGCTATGGCCTACAGTGCCCTGCTATGGGTCTGTTACACGATCACACGGGTGACGTGGGCTCCTGCCCAATACAAACATGGGGGCAGCTCATTCAGCAGCCTTAATAATATTACATTACATTACACTATACTACATTATATTACATTACACTATACTACATTATATTACATTACACTATACTACATTATATTACATTACACTATACTACATTACACTATACTACATTATATATTACCTGGCAGGAGAGGCCATACAGCCTTACTACATTATATTATATTGCATTACCTGACAGGAGAGGCCATACAGCCTTACTACATTACCTGGCAGGAGAGTCCATATAAACAGATACTGTATATTAACTATCCTCCAACACCCAGCCTCCCATTCATTCATACTCTGTATTGATCGGTCCGTGGGAGAGACAGGTGCCACTCCTAAAGTATGGGACCCACTCAGCACTCTGTGTGTTATCTAGTGCAGGACATATGGATCAGAGTGAAAGGGAAGAAAAACACCCCAAACTCAGCTATACTATATATGATCATGTGGCACTCTGTAACTAAACTTGGCTCTTGGCCGGGCTGACGTATATGTTTGTAATTTTCTGCATTAAAAATACCTCTTGTTTTATATTTATATGCTATTAAGAAACATTAGTTTGGTTTTAAAAAAAAACAAAAAAAAAACCTACATTTAAAGAACTTCTTGTTTGGTTTTTCTGATGAGATGTAGCGTGTGGGGTGTTTTTTGTTTTTAATGTATGTGTGTTGCTTTTATGTAAAAGCTTACTTTATTTACTAAACTAACCTAGGAATTTATTTTCTTGTGTTTATTTAAACGCTGGTCTGGCCTGATTTGGAGTCCCAGCTGTTTTAATCGTGTTTACTATAACATAAAAGTAAATTCATTACTAATAATGCTATAAACTCGTTTCTATTGTGCCTCTTGCATGATCTATCGAACTAAATTATTCTAGTATGATTCACCTTAATCAAAAACATGTTTGTGTTAAATGAATTGACCAAAGTGTGCAATATATTCTCCACACTTTTTTTTTTTTTTTGTACTTGTAATGACTTTCGTGTGTTTAATGTGTATATTTAAAAAATCTCTCTCCTCCGTCAGCAGACAAATAGATGTGACTTCATTGCTTATTGTTTTCTGTCTATAAAAGCATTCTGTGAGAGTGCGCTGTAGTGCCTGGCCAACATTTACATGTAACATGGTGAAGGTAGCAATTGAGCTGTTTCCATGGGACTATTCTCCTATGGCCCTGACTATCAGTTGTCCACTGGGGTCTTCTTCAAAAGACTTCAACTCTCTTCTCCATTGCAGACATTTGTAAATGGTTTTTTAATGACTCAGGGTTTTGGGAATGTTCTAGGTAAGTTAACTGTGGAATGCTGGAATAAAGGCCATATTCTAATGTGTAATAAGATTTTTAGTTTCTGATGTGTTCTTGCACATAATTTTGTAGAAAAAGTTGTGTATTTTCTAAATCTCTGTGCCTTGATTCTTAATCAGATTATTAAATGATTGTCAGTTTTTTTTTTTTTTTGTTGTTGTTGTATGTTGACTTCTAACAGCTGACGAAATGTGTCTGTAACATCTGATCTAGTGGATGAGTAACTTTTGTTATTAGTCTGTAATATCAGTGGCTGGAACAAGTGGATGCTATGTGTGATACACTTTTATTCAGTGAAGGCCAAATCTGTAGTTTCATATGTGGCCACTTAAACTTCTGGTTAATCGTTATTCTGATATACAGATGCCTGCCCTCTACTGGGGGATAGTGGAATTGCCTAGTGATCACCCAGTGGGTCTTAGTCCAGATGTTAAGTAGCTAAATTCATGTGCTTTTTTTTTTTATGTATCATATACATGGCAGAATGGTAATCTTTACACTGCCTTCCTTTTTGCTACTTGGCAGATATTTGCTGTAAAGATTCAATATTGCAAGGAAATAAAAAAAACCTATCCTTGAGGACACTACTGCTCACCTGTCTGTAGCAAACATGTCCCCCTTCAAGCTGCAGGTGTGTAAAATGTGTTCTGCTTTATGCAGTTACTTACCACCTTCTTACTCCTGTTTTTATCATCAAATGTAGCTGACCTTAGGTAATCACATTCACAAGCACCTTGAGAGGAAATCTTTTCCATTACATAGTATTACTGTATGCATCCTCCAGAAGAGAAATGCATATAAAGGTGTCATTTCAGGCAAAGGAATCTTCTCTCTCAATTCTGGAATTTACAACTGGATGTGACCCTTCTTCATGAAACAAACTGGCATCAGTGACTTGCACATTGTGGAGGACCTTCCACCCCTCTAAGGGGGTGCATGTATCCAACATCCTTTTTATAAATAAATTTAACTTGTCGTTTTTTTTTTTTTGTTTTTTTTTTCTTCTACTTTTTAACATTATCAAAAACTAAATGGTGCTTGAGTTTATTTCCTGACAAAGGATAAAAAGTCACTTAAAAAAATATAAATTCTAATATTTGTTTACACCCTCTCTTCCTACCCTTCCCATTCTCCCTTTCAATGGCCTCCGCTGTACTAAATGAAACTCAAAAGTACATGTTCTAAAACAATTAACATAGGAAACAAATTTTAAAAAATGAGCATATTGTTTGATATCACAGTAGAATTTACTATAATAAATATGGCATTTTTATTTTTTTTTTCATGTCCATTAATTTCGGTGTAGAAAGGCAGACTTAATGGACAGGTGAATCTCTATTTTACTGAAGAGGAAAAGGTCAAGTGTATAAGATTTCAGCTGACGAAATGTCTCTAACTTCTTGAGCGAGTAACTTGTTTATGCCTTGTAATAATATGGGTGGGACACAAAATGCATTTCATGCTGTATGTCTCATCTTTTGTCTAGTATAGCTAATCTAGGTCTTATATTTGCTTCTATGTTTTAGTTCGCTCGCTCGCACTCTCGCTCCCTAAAGTGCTCATTTTTAAGAATACAAGTCCATTAGAAATATACCTGTTCCAGTACAGATTAGGAACATTTCACACAACCTCCTGGATATATTTATTTTTTATTTTATATGTACTTATACTGACTATCCTAAATCTACAACACGAGCTGAGGGTTTCCTAATAAAAAATAAAATGGCAGGTGCGGGAGGAACCATTTCAACCATAAAACATGTCTAATAGGTACATGTATAACATTTATGTAATATCCAAATGGCACAACATGAGCAACTGGGATTGGTAAAGGTTGAGTACTATCAATACATGCATTTGTTACTGGTGTATGCAGCAGAATCATTGTCATCCATGTTGCCTATTCAAATGCACCAGCACTAGAAAATGTATTATGTTTATCAGTAGTTCCCAAACAAGTCTTCATTGACCCAGCTTTTATCAGTATCTCCATATGTGCGGTGGTTGCTATGGAAACCCCCTAGCTGGCACTTCAAGCACTGGCTATAGAGTATAGAAAAAGAGTGACATAATATCACTCTATTTTGGCAATGAAGCCAGTGTGCCGAGGTTTGCTTCATGATGCGTCTCCAAGCAGAGAAAGTCAAAGAACGGAGATGGTGTGGGGACAGCCAAGAGGTGGCAGTTACGTGAGGTGATGCCCACAAATCTTTACGATGATGCTGGAATTCAGAGCGATGATTAAATCTCAATTTTACATTGAATACATCCCTTATTTTTGTGATACATCAGCAGTTCCCAAACTGTGTGCCGCAGTGCCGTGACAGGCACACAGGTGCTACAGAATGGTTCCCCGGGGCTATGATTATAGCACCGGGAAACATTACTGCTGAACACAGGCCTGGTCTGGTTATACAGTCCTTTTTTAAGACCGCAACTGGGCCCATGTAATGTTGGCCTGGCTGGGAGGAAGGGACAGGCTGTCACTTCCTCCCAGCATCATACAGAGCGACAGCGTGTGAGGGAGAGGAGCACTCCAAGAGCTGCTCCCGACCCCTCACTCTCACAAGAAGGACCAGGACTCCAAGCCATCCTCATGGACACATAAGGTAACAGAGGAGAGAGAGAGAGAGAGTGTGTGTGTATATATATTCAGTGTGCTTTTGTGTCTGTGTGGGGTGTTTTTTTTTGTTTTGTTTTTTTTGGGGGGGGGAATGGGGGAATTTCCATTCTCAGGTGTGTATCTATATGTATGGGTTGGTGTCTATGAACTTGTGTGTAAGTATGTATGTGCATACATTCAAGCAGTCATACAACAGCACAACATACGAATACACTCCTGCAATCTAACACAAAAATTACATACAAACACACCTCTGCATTCAAACTCCAAAAGGATATACAAACACGCCCCTTCACTCAAACACAAATGTACATCTGCATTTAAAAGTGAACATTACATACAAGCACCCCTTCAAACATCAACACTGAACATTACACTATTGCGCCAGTAAATTTGGTAGAGCTGCCCAGATCTATAACCTAGAACTTTTTACTTGGGGTGCCTTGGAAAAATATTTGGAATATTAAGGGTGCCTTGAACCTAAAAAGTTTGGGAACCACTGTGATCGATGAGGTGTGGCAGTAAGTCCAGGTGTGTGTGGTTGTGTGTGTTTTTTTTTTTTTTCGTCCCTTCCTCCTATCACAAAATTAAATAATGAAATGGTTCAGTTTTACCCATGTCAGAATAAAGGAAAACAAGCCATTCATAAAGTGGATAATATGTCTCTTTGTATAAAACTAACACCATGTATGTACAAAATAATGACTTTCCACACCCAATGTGATAACTAATTATTCTATCTAAATCCAAGGCTCACTAGCAACACAAACAATGGTCAATGGAAAAACCTACTTGGTGAGCAGGCACTAATCAGGTTTTATTGTGTAGCTGCCTATGGGGTCAAAGTTGCAATTAAACTACAGAGCTAGTGAAAATAGACTGTCAATGGAAGACTAAAGTAAGCTAAAACACACACAGAGGTGGCCGTCTGGCCATTATTCTTCGTGTGTGTGTGAGAGAGCTCTATAAATGGGAGAACTAACCTGTTCTCACTATATTTGTAGTGGATAGTACAGAGAACAGAAAACCAACAATAAAAAGTCAAATAAATCCATAAATGGTTGGTTTCCAATAGCCTATATAATTATCTATTGGAGAAACAAAAGTTAAATGAAAAAAATTATTGGTTATCCCTTTGGGTGTGGGAGGGGTCATTACTTTGCACATACATTGTTTTACATAATAATAATACCTTTTATTTACAGAGTAGGATTAGCCACTTTTTTTTTTCTTTTCTTATTTCTTTCTACAGCATTTACCATAATTTTGGCATTAACACCTATCCTCAATTTGGACTGTGTAATTTTCATCTCCTAATTTCAAGTTAAGTTTAATAGATACAATATGAATAGAATTTCATATGGAGAGAACAGTGATAAATATGATCTAACACAGTAGTACCCACCACAATAGCTATAACTAATAATATTGATCTAATAAATACATCAGAGCTCTTCAGATTACACAGATACAGTGGTTTGCAGTCAGCAAAATCCATCTAAACATGTTATGTTTGAACCATCAATGCATATTGGGCATTTGATGTAGACTATCCTTCCTAACTGGTAACTTGGAATTGGACCTCTGTTACTGTTTTGTAGTCAACAGTAGCAGTAACTTGGCTGAAGATTAAGTTAGACAAATCTACAAAGACTTTGTTAGACTGGTAATCCATAATAATCTTTAACTTTTATTGTCAATGCTGAGCTTGTCTCTGCACACCCTTGCTTTGTGTGCACAACCCAAGCTTCTGGATGCCATAGTTCTGCTCTGAGCTTTCTATATGAACAGCAACCGTCTGATACCTTGTCTGTGCTCTCTATACAATACGTCAGTTAAACCTGTATTATTGTAGACAGAGGCAAACACTGCAGATTGGGAGGACGGGGGCGGATGGGTGAAATTATGGAGCAAAATTAAACTCCTCAAGCATAACTAACTGGGGCTTTATATGTTACGCTTCCAACCACCATCTCTAATGAATTTATGGGATAATATATTAACAAGATAAAACAGATCTACTCCCTTATAGAGTTGCCTAGTTTTCTGCTGCTTTTGCGAGAGACTGGAATAGATTTTCCAGCCGTTTCCCAGTTCTTTGTCTTCATTGAAAGTGTTGGACATATCCATACATGTGGTGGGGAGAGGGGGGACCACTTACAATCAGGTGTATGGCTGGTGTGCATGCATTTTCATAGAAGGCTCCTACAGTTAAAAGTCTTGGTACATAATTTCTGTGCAAGAAAAATATGGAGACATGCTGGTATTTACCCTCTGAAGTGCGTACTTGTAGTCTAATCTGTAAACTATCACACTGAAATGTATGGTTCTTGTATGAATGTAAAATTACACCTTTTATTTCACAAGGCTTTTTTTTTTTTTTTTTTTTCATCCAACTTAAATAAATTTGTATTTAAAATAGATTTCCTATTTCCTATTATGACACAAGCAAAGCAAAACTTTGCTCACCTGCAGGATTTATATGTAGAAGTATGATTTTATAGGTACTTTTTAAGTAGGGAATAACATGGTCCTAAAAATACTGTTTTTTATTCATTTGTTTTTCTGCATTTAAGGTACAGATTATCAACTTGCTGTTAGATTGGCCTTCTTCTGTAATTCTTGATGTCTTCTTTTGCAGCATGTCTTGGTAAGTCCCAGTGCGGAGCAATATGACAGCCTCCTACAGCAGCTGCGAGATAGGATGGATGAAGGCAGAGGGGAAACCATATATGTCATCGGACAAGGATCTGGTAAGTTTATTTCACATTGTAGGGGTGTGTGTGTGTTAAAATTGGTTTGAGAAAAAGCAGAACATTTGCACTATAATAGCTGCCATATGAATTGGCAGGTGTGGCTTCATTTCAACTTAATACTCTGTATATCCTGAAAATACATTTATCGAAAAGATTTTATTAACTGGGGTAGTACTTAGTGGTGGTTGGTGACATTTTTAAGATGGTGGGGTGCCAGACTTCTCCTCCAGAATTTTATTCCTCCCGATACAGTACAGAGATACTCCTACAATACAGAGATGCTCATGCAATTAAACACGTTGGGCACAACATAAAGATCTCTATAAAATACATAGAGTGGAGTACAATACAGAGAAAACCATATCGCAAACAGATCTGAAAAAAAAACAGTTTGGGCACAATACAAAGATACATGTATAATACACAGAGCTGGCTAGACATCAGAGATACCAGGACAACAGTAGAGCTGAGTAAAATTCAAAGAAATGACACACAGAGCTGGACACAATAAGGAGACACTCCTAACTATGCCTCACAGCCAGGATTACACAGTTCTGCAATACAGAGATACCCACACAGTACATGTGAAGATATCTTATCTCACGCTATCTTCCTAGCCTTCTCTTTGCCCTCCCTTACATGATCTCCTCTTCAGTAATGCCCCTGCTATGATAAACTTGGATTTCTATTAAATATTACTGCAGTTATGAAACATATTGGCTACTCCATTAGCTCGCAGCGTACAGGGTTAAAGCCACAATATACTTATAGACTCCTTATTACCTTTGCAGCTGGCTATATAATTAATCTACATTGGTAATATGGAGCCATGAAGTAGCTGAGATGGTTAACTGAATCAACAGTTATTACAGATTGGAATCAGATCAGCCTCAGTCCTGCAGTTAAAGCTTCACAACTTTTCAACTAGCCACAGTATGAGTGTCCCAGGTCTCGGCTGTAGAGTGATTGAGTACTGATGGTGGGTCTGTGCAGTGGGATTTATTAAAACACTGTGCTCTGTGTCAGAAATGTCCCCCTCCTAGTCACCCTTTCACGTACCTAGTTTCAGTCCTCAGGCAGTTACTGGGGCTATTAGGGGAGAGAAAAGTAATAAATATATTCTATATTACATTTGGTAGATACCAGGCGCTACTGCGGCTTTTCTCCTATGTTATGACTATGATTGTGTATTTATATTTACAAGTGCTACGTTTTCACTTGTGAGTGGAAATTATGATCCATAATCTCCCCCCCCTCCCCCCACCTCCCCTCGTCCCTATTAAAACCCATTTGAGCCCACACCTATACAACCTGTCAAAGGGTAATATATTTTAAGTCATACCTTACACTCACAATCATGTGGCTATATTGAAGAATGAGTCATGATGCTATTTAGGCCGGATAATTAGATTGGTTGAAATAATATTTTAAATGACTTTTGCAATGTAGGAAAATGTTTAATATTGTTCATTAAATAGCTTTACAAATCCATGTTTGCATCATGCTTACGTTTCTGTACTTTGCCATTTTGCTGGACTGTCATTTGCAAATATTGGTACAAATTTGCATCTTAAAACTGTTTTACATTTTTTTGTCTTGTCCGCAGCATAATGACGGGGGGAAAAATGCCAGCTGCACTCACGCTCTTTCAGAATGATGCTTCAGGCGTGCTTTAGAGCAGGGGGCTCAAAATGTAGATCTCCAGATTTTAGAACTGCAAATCCCTTGATGCTTTGCCAGTCTTTAGAATGGCAAAACATAATGAGATTTTCAGTTTTACAACATCTGTAAATTTTTCTTCAAGCACACCCTGCCCTAATGTATTTCATGGGCTTCCTGACCAGTAGGGAGTAACAATCTTTTTATAGTTCAACAGTTTTACTGTCTAGATTAAAGGAATACTCTAGCATTCCGAATGTGTGGTTTTGTAATTTTGTTGTTTGTTTTTTTTATTTTTTTATTTTTTCAAACAAACCTTTGCAGTTCAGGCCACTTGAAGGACTTTTTACCAATAGACTGTTTCTAATTAAGAAGCCTTGGGATGCAGAGAGCATGCACGGCAATTGCCATGCTGATCCTGCAATGCCTTGAATCCAAGGCTTCTCTATTAGAAGTATTGCTTTTCTGCTGGAGCAGAAATTGATTACGAAGATCATCCTCCAGGCTGTCTGAGAGGTGAGAGAGTGATATATTGATAAGGTATGAAATAAGAGGTGCTCTTTTAACTCCAAAAGAACTTCAGTGAGTTCCTTCTAATGTGCCCGTATAGCAGGCTTCTTAAAACTCCGGCCCTCCCGATGTTGCTGAACTAACTCCCATGATTCTATGAATGAAGTAAAATAGGCTGAGAATCATGGGAGTTGTAGTTCAACAACATCTGGAGGGCTGGAGTTTGGGGAAGCCTGCCAAATAGTATGTGTAACTTAAAGGTACACTATAGTCACCAAACCAAATTTAGCTTAACCCCGTCCCGCAGTCGCGGGGTTAACGCTCAACTGGTCTGCCTCGGTATCCGTGGCAGACTGGGAGCACCGGAGGACATGGGCTGCAGGGACTCACGATCAGCCTCCCTGCGCTTCTGGGTTCACTGTGAAGTGCAGGGAGATGGGTCAGTGCTGATCCTCTTCTCCCTGTAAAAAAATTTATAAAGAATTTAAATAATGATAAATCCCACACACCCCCCTTTCCCCTGCTTTAATAAAATTAACCCCTTCCCTGCCAATTGATCAGTGACTAGAGTGATCAATTGGCAGGGATTACATTTTACTGTCATCTGAGGTTAAATTTATTTTATTAAGGGGTTAAATTTATTTTATTAATTTTAAATATTTAGAAATTATATATTTAGCTAGCTTGGATAGGTTGAGGTTAGTGGGGAATTGGGGGGTTTGGTGTTAGGCTAACTAGGGGTTAACGTTAAAGTTTTAAAATAAGCTTTAAAAAGTCGTTTTTTGGGGGGTTTTTTTGTAACGTTTAAGTTAAAAAAAAATACCACCCCCCCTGTTTGCCCAGTCCAAATAAAAATTAACCCCTTCCCTGGCAGTTGATCACTGCCTACAGTGATCAAAATACAGATCACAGTATTATACTGTGATCTAACCTTTTTTTTT